TTTTTTTTATATCCATTTCAACCATATACTCAGCTGCTGCCTTATGTATATGTTTATTTTAACAGTGCTTCATCTAGTGTACCTTCAATGGTGTTTGATGGGAACGGATATGTCATGTTCCCTATGTCCATGTTGCTCCCGTACTATCGAGTGGAAAGTCTGTATCTGAGATTTTCTACCCGACAGAAGGAAGGTATCCTGCTGCTATTGAACGACCAACTACAGGTGCGCTTACGCTTACTACACCTCTCTTGAAAGATATTGAATTGGTCATTTTCTTTCTGACAAAAACCTTATTTTAGCAAACATGTTCCGAAACTTTTGTAATTTGACATTCTAATAAAATCAAATGCGTGACATCATATTTCATTGTCACATTTTGGGAGGGCGAATACGAAAACATATCATTTACTGTCACATCTATTTACGACAAGATGTGGACGGTAATATGTTTATTTTTGTTAAAATGGAATCCATGGTGTAATTTCGAGACCGGCTTACCGTCGAGGTCGTCTTATTTATGAAGCATTAAAAAACTCAGGCAGTTTCGCAATGGATATTCCCTTCTTTAAAAAGACCAATTGTGACGTCAGAATAACGATACTATGCATAACGTCATAATATTGTGACGTAACATTGACGAAAATAGTCAAAAAGTCAAAATGGTAACGTTGACATTTAGTTAACACGAACATAAGATTAAACTCTCACAAACTATTTGCAATAAGAACTTATCTTAATTTACGTATGATATGTAGCCACGCTAAAACTCATGAATATGAGGTGGAAATAAAATGCGTGTTAGAATCTATAATTTCTTTGTACATGTGAATGAGAATCGGATCACGCGTGCTTACAAGTTTTTAGTCATCTTTACCGTTATAAAATAGAACAAAAATCAATCCGAGATACGCTATATCACTTCCCAAGTAGAATTCATGTTACTAAATATATAACATTTATACGTTTTAATCAGGCATTTGCAACGAGATAAAAGCATTTGGCTCTATACGAATAGACAAAAACACAATTATTGTCGCTGTTTATGATATAGATATACTATCGCTATTTGTGATTTACATGTATATATATTAAAATATATATTTATCAGTGAAATTTATAGATGTCAAACGTACTTCTGAACAGGGGTTATTGGTACACCAGTTGGGAACAATAAAGGAAATATGAATATATTTGATTCACTATTTGTTTTAATAAGTACTACGAAAACTTTATATATTCAGTTATTATTTCGTATTTTCAAGTCCTTCAATGAAACTGCGATAAACAGGATAATAAAGAGAGAAAGATGATGATAAAAATAATTGACTTTATCTAAATTCGAGAACACATTGAGTCAAGAGCTAAGCTCACGTATGGTCGACAGAAAGTACACAATATTTACAACACGGCTAAGAAATATAAAACATAGCACACACACACATTAAATACATTAGGTGCAAGATACATCAAGTTTGGCGTTACGTATTCATTCTACTACACTGTAAGCTTATGAATAGGGTTTTAAATATTGAAAGGTGTCAATAGAGTTAAAGTGCGAATTAAAAACACCATTCAATTTTTTGGTCCTCATGCAATATACAATAAAAGTTGGGTCCTAAAAAATGAAAGTGTTTAACAGTCATTATATCGATGTAACTTATCACACGGCATTTACCAGTATCTTCACAGCCATTTCTTACTTCTTTTCTTGATACAGTTTACTCTAAGTTTCGTGTATTTTTTTAGTTTCATTGATTTCGTCGGTAATCTTCATCCACGAATTCATAGTAATTACATATTTGACAAAGCAATTTTTTCGTTTGAGTGGGTACTCGTTATCATGTACCAACGAAACGGTATTATGTCCCACGAAAATATCTGACTATGATATTTGTGAAAGACAAAAGAAATTCTGAAGTCAAATGGCGAAGACACAAAAACTAGTTTGAATGAGTTAATTATTAAATTATCTTCATATCTAGGAAGAAACTTAACATATCTAGAAAAAAGTTTTATCAATTTGTTCTTGTATATTGACTATATGGTATGTTTTACAAACATAGATGCTATATCAAGTTGTATAACGTCATTCAAACCCTGACCGATGAGTCATTTAAATCTCAATTAAATCACAACTCTATCAGGTATCAAAGCTTAAGTAACATACAGTTTCTAAGCTTTTAAAAATGCTCATATGGAACTAAAAGCAAGACACGTATATGCTAAGAGGTGGGCCTTTCGAAGTATCATGAGTTCCTTTTCTGTTTCAGCATTTCCAGATGCTTCTTTCCGTTTCTGAAGGTTCTGTACATATGGAGGCGAGAACTAAGCGGGGAACAACTGTTCTTAGAAGCAACAATAATACATACGCAGATGGGTTATTCCACATTGTAGAGGTAAGTGTTGCAACATTTTAGTCAATTTTTGGCTATAACTATATTCAAATGCAGATAAATGAATATCAATTGTATGAATATAATTACCAATTGATACATTTCATCACTGTTAATTGATTCGAGAGAGTGAATATTCATTAAAAAAGCCGAACGATAGCTAGAGTACAGCATTAAGACGAATTCAAAGAAAAAAAGCCTAATTTGGCACATTCAAAGTACCGTCTATACAAGATATGTTACATTATTTTGTTGACAAAACATTTTTGGATTTGATTTAAAGGTTAGAGTAAGGTAGTACGTGCATGTAAAAGATATAGTTTGGTGTCTCTATAATATATTATCCGATATATTACTGTTAAATCACTAATAGTCGTAGGATTTTAAATTTTGTTGATTTCGTGGGTTCTCTTCATGCACTTATTCATAGGTCCAGGAAGGAATTTCAGGTTTGACATAAAGCTATTCTCCCTATAAATAGATACCTTTTATGCAAGAATCATGTACCCACGAAATAGTGTGTTTTGAAGAAACCACGAAATTTGGGTCCAACGACAAAATCTGATTTTCAGTAACAAGTGTTTTGTCGATTAAATTCAGTTCAAAACTCTGATGATCTTTTTGGCAGGTGAACGTACAGACAAGAGAAATACAGGCAACACTAGATGGTGTGTCAGACACGTTTTCTCCAGAGACGTCCACGCAAGAAATCCCTCCCAGAATAGACGACGGCATTTACGTTGCTGGCTTAGGTTCGAAGAGTCAAATCATTTCTGGTAAAACAAAGCTCAGGTACAAACCTAATTTTATTACAGAAAAAAGGGGTGAAAAGAAAGCCACATTGAATGCATTAAATGGAAAAAATTCACATTTTTACCTTATTACCCGCTGCTACGGCCATGTGGTGTATATTTCCTAGAAAAGGTATTCGAATTCAACAACATTTCATTTCGTTTGTTCTATGGGCTTGCTTTCGGATAATACTGCTTATCCATAGTATTTGTGTTTTCTTTGGATATTTTGAATGATAAAAGAGGAATAATGCGAAAAGAGACAATTCCGGAGCATAAACAGAATAAGTTAAATAAAAACTCTGTAATTTAGTAGTTATCGAGATAGGGTGGGGTAGGGTATGTTGGGAGAGGGAGATGAGTCACTTATCATGGACATAGACAGTGGTTTTGACCAATTCAATAACTTTAAGGATGTACTTTTATCTAACCTGTATTTTGAAGGTCACTGACTGGATGTATCTCAACACTACGTATATCAGACAAGGACATTCCCATGTACATGCTACAAGAAAGCAGGAACGTGGTGTATGGTTCGTGCACAGACAGTGTGAGTTTTATTGATGAGTGTTTTTGTCAAATCAATATAGTATAATACTGCGTTTTTCTTTATGAAGTCCTCCAGATTTGGGGACGTAGTTTACCTCATCTTTCACTTCCTTCTTCCTCTTCTTTTTCTTCTTGCGGTCATGCGTGCCTGTGCGTAACGCATTTCATTTTCTAATCGGTCATTTAAACATGGCCACCGTGGCCTCCTCAGATGTTCAGTATCCCATGTATTCGGCACTTGACTATATTACTTTTATAGTAACTCATATTCGCCCTTTTCACACTTTTCAGATTAATTACGATATTGTAACGTATTTGTTTTGGTAATGATTAAAAGAATAACAATTTATTTTTTACCCATGAAACAATACATTTATATTTTTAAGAAACTTCAATTAACTTGATATTACTTAAACATTAAAGAATGCATGTTCTCTCTGCCAATAACAATGCTATTAGAATAAGTGGCAGGTGACTGAATTGTATTTTTATACAGAATTATAAGGGACGATATTCTCGGCTCCTTGTCGTGTTTTTGTAATAATAGAACCTTGAGGATCAACTTATCCATGTGCGAAATATCATGTTGGTAATTATGTGTACTGATTCATTGATTAAAAGATCTAAAAAGGATTATTCAAACATATATATAACGGAGGTGGACATACCTAACCTAAAGCAGGTAGATTTGCATATGTCTGTACGTAACTTATTGAATCATCCATAACATATTTTGTACTTGTTGACATAGGTCATACATTTCAATCTATTTTTGCGCATACTTATGGTATTTGGTTAAGACGTAGCTGGTGCCATGGATATTTGTTACTTAGTTACGGAGTGAAATACAGGAGGGTTATTAATACTTCTAGCGTTGCTAGGATACGATCACTGATATTAAAAACGATAGAAATATCCTCCCTGTACTACGTTGTAGGGATTGGTCTTTTGCAATGTCAGTCTGTAGAGAATCAAGTTGACCTCAATACATATTTATCTGATGCTCGTGAAGTGTTTTACAAATGTACCTGTTCCGTTTTAATTAAAATTTGTGTTTTCGGAATTTACATTACAAAAAATAAAGATAAACACATGAATGCAATATTCAATGCCATAATATTATTTGTCATAAGAATAATATTTTAATGCGTTTGTCATTCATTCCAAATATCAATTGTCGCTGACAATGTAATATACCTGCAACCATATAGTACCCTGTTCGTTGTCGGTTTCGTTAATTAATTGAAACTGACCGTTGTTATCGGTGACATGGGATTAGGTATATGAAGAATAGAATACATATTTATCTTCAATAAGATTCATCGGGTTAGAAATATTCAATATCAAAGTCATACTTTATACACAGTGTACGTATTAAACGTGGCGCAAGGTTTAATGACCGACTGGTCCATTTGTCAAGCTCTGACTGAGTGAGAGACTTGTATTGTTTACCTGTACAACGATGTGACAAAAAAAATGTATTAACTCTCACTTTCGCTTTCTGCATATCCCTGAAATATGTCATAGCAAATTTGAAGGCTCAGTGTGCAGCACCTTGTGAATGAGACAAGAAGACTAGTTTATTCCTTTGGTGTATATAAGAAAAATCTCACTGTCGCATAACGGTACAATTGACGGGATTTGAAGTTGGATATCGCTTCTCTGTTATTTTCAAAAGGCATGTATGAACCTAGCAATTGGTTAGGTGTTTTTTTACATGAGACAAATCAAATAGCGAGACTTGTGTCTTCAATTTAGCTACGATATATTCCAGGGGTGAATAAAGCGAAAGTGAGCGAAACCCCTGTAGTATCAGGGATGATGACACTCGAACCGGGATGTTTCTACGGAAGCCCTAGAGGGACAATTTTAGTTACCACTTATAAGTAGTAACAAATAAATGCTAACATATAAGTGGTAACTAAAAATGTCCCTCCAGGGCTTCCGTACGTTTCACCTATTGATAGCTTGTCATAGCTTGACAAAGGGACCAATCGGTCTTGAAACGTTGCGACACGTTTGATACGTACGTTGTTTGTGTATAAAGTAAAACTTTGATATAAATCAATATTTATAGAAAAAATGACTTCAGCCAGAAATGATTGAGAAATTACCCAAGGTAGGATATGCATTCACAAAGTCTTATGGTTATTATAACGTCATAACTATTTTGTTGGTGAGATAAATGATGGCATTGAGTTTATATTTAGATTCACGTCATTTAACTTAAATTGCAAACAATGCGTGGTGGCATTTAGCATAGTTGTATATTAGCTACATGCCAATCAGTAAACGGGTTGTAACAACAATGCGTAACATCTCCATTTCAGGTGTGGCATCACTGTGTTAAATTTACGGAAAATAGTACGCCAGTAACGTTAGACGAGCTGCTGGAGTCAACCCGGATATACGTCACAGTCAGTAGCGGTGCTGCTGGTACAGTTCTCAACTATAAAAGGAAAGACGTAAGATGTTTTCATTAAAATACAGGTTTCTGTGATTTGGTGATTAGTTCTATCGTAAGGGGTAGCTTGTGTCATGTATTTTTCCGTGTAGGAGTTTGTTTCAAACTAATAGTAGGCGATGTGATAAATGCCCTAAAATATGGAGAGATTTCAATTAAACTTGGCGTGTAAAGTTCTAATGTGTAGAGGAAGTTCAAAGATGAGGAGACACAGCCATATCCGGCTCATGTTTGAAAATGACCGGAATCTTTGCAGTTAAATGAGGTCGGGTAAACTACGTTAATACTGACGAGATCTATATTTCTTTACACAGTTTCTTATCTATGCAGAAGTTTTTGTTTGCAAACTATTGTTTATTGTTGTAAAATGTTAATGTCAAAATTAGGTTGTAATTGGTTGCTATTTCCCCACATCCCTAGCAAAATATTTCTTTTATATAGATGATTAACATTACTCGATTGTTTCCTAGAAATTTAACATCAACATAGACTTGGATGCTGCGGGAGTGACCATCACCGAAAGTGTGGTGGACAACGAGGAGAAGCTATTTACCACACCCCACCACGAGGAAACGTGGATGACCCTTGTCGTGGAGGACCTAGAGTATGTGTAGTATTCCTCTCCATACTTACGTGGGGCAAGGAGGTCATTCTTACAGCGTAGACAGTATGATATCGTCAAATTTTCGGAGCAATCCGCTCCTTTATCGAGACACAGAAAAAACACACAAAACAATTACAGTCCATTTAAAACAATATTAGAAATATAGCAAGATAAAGCTAAAATATTTTGAAAACAATAAGCCCCTCGGCTAGCGTAAGTCGAAGGAGGAATTTACACTAAACGCACCGTTAACCACTGATACCATGTGTGTGCGAACAACGACTGCAAAGTAATAATTGTTACGAAATATCTGTAATTAGTTACAGAAGCATAACATTTGATAGTATTCAAATATCTATTTTTCACATCTATAGGAGTTTGTCATGCTTGTATGCACATCAATTAAAGCATCCTCGATGCTGCAGAGGTAACGCTCACTTACGTTCTCTGAACCCCTGGAATATTTCATAGCAAAATTGAAGGCACATGGCTAGCTATTTGAATGGTCTCAGGTAGAAATACCTGATCAATCACTAGGCTAATACATGACCTTTGAAGATTACAGAGGAACGTTTTACTGTTACGCTACCGCGAAATTCTTCTTTTGGTGTACACCAAATAATCAAACTAAATTTCTTGTCTCATCTACAAAGTGGCGCACACTGATCCTTCTATTTTGCTATGACATATTCCAGGGGTGCAGAGGGCGAAAGTGATCGTTACCCCTGGTATCAAAGACGCAATTAAAGCAGAAACTAATTTTGATATGAATCTCATGTAATAACAATGATTGTGACGTCATAAAGACATACAATGGTATCATCACATACGACTAAAAGCAAGCATGTTGCTGGGTTTCCTTGTCAGTACATGCGACAATACAACAAGAAAGAACCCTAAGAGCGAATAGACGTAAATATATTCATATCTTTTCTATCCAAAATAAAAAATGATATTTAAAATACAATATGTTTCGTGCAGGGATAGAGTAAAGGTTACGCTGAATGGTACGTCAGTGACCCTGCAACATAAACAGAAAGGATGGCTAACTATAGGCGGGGACAGCCCTCCAGAATACCAAATTACGGTCGGAGGAGAGGAAGGCGAGGACCCGGCCACATTTACTGGAGGAGTAGCACGTGTCATTGTCAATGACGTGTGAGTATGACTATACTACGGAATCTACGACAGAATATCCGGATTATTTATAAACTAGACAAAAACACCTTTTGAGAAGATAATAAAACTACTCATTTTGGATTTGGATATCTGACCCCACTTGGAATTTAGCATATGCTTTGTCAGAGATAAGCATGCCTTATGTAACTATGTTATACGTCTAGTCTAAGCTGTGTGAAACATGCCATAAACCTTACTTCATCCTGCCACAAACATTCAGTGTCTTTACGTAATCAGGACATTCGAGTCTTTGAGCTGCATTGGCGTTTCCTTACCTCCCTCTTTTATAACCCTCAAAGATGGAATTGTTTAGATACCTTTCAGTGGTGTCCTTTAATAAAGAAATCGGTATTTGTAGATAATTTGACAAAGAGATTGGTATTTAGATACTAAGCAATTGTATATCTTTGATATAAGCATTGATATTGTAGATATATATTGTATCGGTGTGTCATACATTTTGATCTAGCTTGAAATTTATAATTTCCCCATTAATTGCTACCTTGATAAAATATCATATTTATGAAATTATGGTTGTGAATACATGAGAGACTATCCAATATCGATAAGTTTATAACAGGATATCGTAGCTACACTGACGTTTGTAAAATTAACCGATAGGTCAATTTCATTTCTTGACAGATTCATCGATCTCGCGTCAAGTGCTAATCCACATAGGCTCCATGGATGTGAGAAACTAATCCCCGAGCTACCGGAAATGGAAAAGGACATGAAGCCCGTATGCTGATCCAGTATTACATAATAATGATTTTTGTACATGCTTTGATTTTCATTGTATCAAACGTACAGTATATTAACGCTAATAATCAAAGTGCAGACAGAATGAAATTGATACTGTGAGTCTTTCAGAATTTGACACTTAAAATCAAATTGGCCCTTTTTAATATTAATGCCATAATTTGTAATCTTGACGCACATGTGCCTTTCAAAAAACGAATGCGTAACTTTAATATAGTTTAAAACGGGTAGGGCTAAATTGCGAACATGAATTAATCGCCATTAAAATCCTATATGCTAACTTTATATAAACATAGTGCTAGTTATTTGTCATGTATTTACAATCCCTATACAGTATCAATTTCAGACATAGTGCTAGGAATGTCATTCTCAATTTCTGACGTCATCATAATTATGACGTAACGTTACATTCTCTTTAATCTTGAGAGTGGACGCCTGCTCTATTTCAAAGTTACATAAGCCTTCAATTTCAAAGTCCCTGTACAATATCTTTCGTAATTAATCTAAAATAATGTAAATATATTAGTATGGAGATGCTCTTGGATTGTTAATCTTGAGAAAGCACAAGCTTCCTCTAATGCTGTTGGCTTTCATAACTCATATTGTTGCCTCAACTGTTTAAGTTTTAAACGAAATCATATTTCGAAAATAAAATAAACGTTTCTAGTATTATCATCTCTATGATATAGGAAATCATGCAAATGCGATACTGTTTGATCATTCTGAGCATTTCTCTTAACATAATTCATATCTAGATGTCCTATCACTGAACACAGTAAACAACAAATTGCGGTTTATTTGGGAACATTATGTTACTGTGGGGCTATAATCCAATCTTAATTTTTTTTTTTTACACATTTGCTTATGTTAAATACTTCTAAAATTTCGAGCTCGGATTTAACTGTTTTAATTACAAGCCATGGAACACTTTCATTTACAATATCGTTTAATTAACCAATGGTTCGGCGACTGTGACGTCATTTACCAAATTAAATGTCACACTGTGACGTAAGAAATACAATGGTAGAAAATCTCTTTCGTTATCGTTAAAAGGTCTGTACCTTCTATACAAAAGTTATGAACAATATCAGCTCTGGCCTGCTATGGCGCTGAAACCATGGCATCCTGGAATTCAAGACTTTGAGCTCCTCCTTTGATAAAGTTTTAAATCGAATGTAAATTTATATAATAGTGCCCCGATGGATGATACCAGTAGACATAATAGGTCCCCGGTATTACTGGTCCGTCAGTCAGTTAATTGATCAGGTTTTTCGGGATGTATCTCATGCATAGTCAGTAACAATTACCAAATTTTGTGTCTAAGTACCTTCTGGAATGGTATTGATCGGCCCCGATCTCTACAATATTGAATCACTCAGCTTAAAATTGACTCTAATAATTTCAAACTAGGGGATATAAGCCAGTAGCAAAATGCAGTTGGAAAATCCTTCAAAAAAATCTGAGGGACTGGTAGCCATTCTAGGAAAGGAATACTGATATCAGGTCTTGGATCCCACTTTTTACAATAAATGGCCACTTGATCACTGCGAGTCATTTGTCCTGAACATATATCACACACTGTCAGCTGCAGTTGTCTGTTGTTTTTTAAACGCTTTTAGGATCACGCATTGAAATCAGGTCTTGAAAATAAACCCTCAAAAAACACATATTTATATCCTACTTTAAAACAGATACATATTCATATGCCTTGGGTTTTCCATTGGTGTCTTACCTATGAGATACCTATGAAATAAGATATAGTTAGGCGGGTTGTTTTCAATGCTTGTTGGACTATAATCAGAATATAGTAATAGGCAATATGAATAAATGCCAATAAATTAAAGAGAAATAGATGTGAAGCGCCTGCAAACTTGAAGAATAAAAAAATAGTTCACATTTCCTTGGCCTATCAATGAATTGCCTAGTCCTACAGATCCCCCAGGCAGACACAAATGCCCTTCCTTGGTCTACATTGTAACCAGCTGCGTTGCGGTTGACAGTTTATCGATGATGTGAAAAAAACTACCACAATGGTTCTGACCTGTTGTTTAGCACGTCATATAAAATCGACAATAACAGTTTTATGTTTTGACATGCGTAATTAACACCACATTTTGATGATAATCAAAACAAACGCAGAACCTAAAAAAAAAAGAATGCCAATGTAGATTTTTGACATCTTTACTATCATGGCGTTAAACTTGTAATGCCGGATCCCCTCCCCAGAAGATGGCTGTTCTTCTCACTAACTTCAACAAACATAAGTGATATACTCACACATTTTAATTAAATGTTGAATTTGTTTAGATAATAATTTTAATGATATTAAAATATTTCAATAAAGGAAGATAATATTATTGAACTGTTTTTACTTGCCCATAGGAAACGACAAAATTCCAATAAGCGCACTAACGTAAATACTTGCATTGTAAGTGTTTTGGAAAACATGATAGTTTTGTTTCAATAAAGATGTAATTTTGTAGGAGTGTAAGACTTGTGTAATCCTCAGAATGATATAACAGTACTGTTCGTAGTATGAATGCAATTCACCTCACTCGTATTACTCATTAGGTGTTACACGAACATGTCACTATAGAATAATCATCTCATTAATGCTGCCATGTTGGCATCCAAATAACAATTAATTTCCTAGATCGTTCACTGTATTAAACAAAAACATTGCTCTCGTTTACTTGTATTTCGACCTTTGTATTTTGTAGACTCATTCCCTTTTTCATTTTAATTCCCAGAATTTGTCTGTGTTGAAGATTGCAGAAAACTCGCTGTTTTCGGTTCTCGATTCGTTTCAGATATACGATGAAAAGACTGACTTCAAATTTAGCATTTGTTACAGGGCTTTTCTTGTTTATTTGAAACGGACAACTTCATGATGTCAAAAACTACATGTCATCACACTTCAATAGTATGAAGACGACACGACATACGCAAAATAACTGGTCTTAATTTTTTGCCTACGCACACGCATGCGTGCTTCCAGTCGTTGCCAATTTGGTTTACGTTAAATTCATTTATACAACAATTTTCATCAAAAATTACGCATTCCGATTTTAGCGCTCACATTAAAATCTAAACATTTTACAAACAAAAGGACTACATTCAATATTATGTGCCGCATATAGATGTACTATTATTGTATACCTGTAGTGTTACACAAACTTTAAAGGATCATAATGAGTTTACTCTATTTCATTAACCATGTACCGAGTAATAAAATGTAAAGAGCTGAAGCAAAACAGCAGTCGTATGAAAAAGCATTCTTGATAAGCATATCTTACCTAGAAGGCGCTTAGAATTTGAAAGGAATTGACCTGTTTGGTAATTATTGTGAAATACCAGAGTTATGGGTTAACACTGCTAGTTTTAAAGTCGGTCGATACGAAACATGAATTGTTCTCCCTCTATTATTTTCAGTAACTTCTTTTTTCTTTATATTTATATTGAAGTAATGTCTTCGCTTCATTATTTATTCGCTTTATTTGTGTACAATAAACTTAAATGTTTTGTTTGATATTGGTGTTTTGAGAGTGGTGTTAGTAAAATAAGAACAAAATACCATCTGTATATCCCACGTCATCATCCATCGTTGTCGTTGCATGTAGAAACGGACTGAAAAGCATTTATGAAGAAAGGGAAAAACATGATTACACCACACTTAGCATGCAACTGCTTCAGTCATTGGAATAAATTTTCATTACAGAATAATTGTATTTCTCTGGTTCATTCTTACTTTATATTCCATAGATATCTTGCACAATGTGCTTCAATCTTTGATAATATTGAACGGAAAGGACTTTATTTTCCTGGAGAATGAGTTAGCTTACAATCAGCCTCATACCACGATATAAACCAGGTGAAGAGCTATCATTTCTTATTTGGGTGCCTAAAAAATATTTACTTTTTCGAAACATCTTGTGAATTAAGGGCACAACATCAGGGATCAGGGACGTTACTATGAATCAAGAGAAAGTTCACGATAGGAATATCCTCACATGTATCCAATTCCACTTCCTTCCCTGTATACTGTATAGTTTTCGGAACACTTAAATCATTCTTTCAAGTTCTTTTGATAATAATGACCATTGTTGAGTTAAAACGGACGAGATGAAAATATTGGTGCAGTGACAAATGTTTATTTTTGTTTGTTTTTTTGTTTTGTTTTGTATTTCTAGTTATTATTTTAGCCTGGCAGCCCTCGGCTATTGTAGTTTTCAGTCAACAAAACAACATTCACAGATCATCGAAAGTGGTTTGGATATCAGCAACAGACTTCAGTTTTTATTTTGGATTTCATGCACAAAAAAAATGTCTAAAATTTATTGACACCAAGATATATCTATTTGCGTTAACCACTGTGGTAGAATAGATTGATATACGCGAGGTTTGTGAAATACGTATGCAAACAAATATACGGAAAATACACATTGCTTTGTATATATCTCAAGTTTACCTAGATACGTAATGTAAATATGAAGGTTTAACGTCGTTTCAAGAACAACTGATCTGTTTCCCATGATAATACAGAGTAAGAATTTTGTATTGTTATTGTGGAGAAATTACCAACGTTCTGTGATCACCTGACTACAGGAGGACATGTATATCTATAGGGCTTGTGTTATTCGATGTCGATGTACCCCCCCC